ACTGAGATATCGCGACACACATTGCAATAGAAGCTCTCAATGCAGTACAGCTGGGCACAATCATGGACACTTTTGAGTGTCGTGTCAGACACAAGCTAGTTACTAGTTTTTATGGGATAAGCCGATAAACGAGCAGACGGATCACTTGATCACTTGATGGTAAGCCATCGGCGTCGCCCATGGACACCCGGAACACCGGAACAGCGTTACAAGTGGGATTAGGGATTTGAGGATTTTTTGGAGATTCGGGGGAATTGGGGAGATTGGAGAAGAGGGGGAGAAGTAATCGGGCTACTGGTAACTGGTAACCTCACTCACATGACGAAACACAACGCAAGCTTTGTTTCACATCGGTTTTTTGATGGAGTTTCTGTAGTAAACCAAGATCGATCTAGAGATTTTGGATTAGGGTGTTAGGATTGCTTTTTAATTTCGGCTGTTAGACAAGGTCTAAGAAGATTTCGATCAGCACCTGTTGCATTAGTTATGGATAGCCCTTTGTTGTCTCCGCAGGCCGAAATATACACCGCCGTGAAATGGAATACTCGCGCATTCTCGAGAATGCGCGAGGATTCCGCGGGAGATTCCGCGGTCCAATTTTTTGACTCTTATTTAATTTGTTTGTTATTATACACTTCATATTCATCACATCAGAAAAAAGTCATTTTCATTGTATGCAAAATTGTGCCTAATATTATAGTATTTTCTTTTAAAACGACTTTTGTTAATTTAAAATTTTTGAATAGAACCAAACTTGTGTTGCCTGCCTCTTCTATGCATATCAAGGTGAAATATAAAATCGATTTTAGTGTAAATAATGTGATTCAAGGCTTTGTAGTGTGTAGTTTTTATAGACTATTTTTAAGCGCATACGTTTATTTTTAAACTTTATGTAGTAATTTTTAATTCATACCTAAAATGACATGCAGAATTAGAATATTTTGACTTTTTATACAACTACCATGAACAAGCTTGCATCAGCGTTTCTTTTATTAGATATACAATTCAGTTACGAAACGCGTAACGAACTTAATTTAATTATTATAGTATAGATAATTAATATTGTACAATTAATAAACGAGTTATAATAATAGTGCTTGTAAACCGAGTGTTATAATATCGCTATATAATTAAAATTTACGATGAGAAATCGCATCGTTTGTAAGACCTTAGTCACGTCAACAACCGTTACTAGGCAGTCTGCTGCAAGACTATGGGTCTATTCTACATTAGATGGAATTTGTCCTCATCTTGATGCTTGTCAGGCAGGAGATCTTAGGCGATCGCAGTTAAAAACCAGGTTTATCAGAGAGCGCTTCTGTCCAGTCTTTGTGGTGTCTTACTCCACTCTCCATGGCTTTCAGCAAGACTAGTAAAGGAGGTACTGAATTTAATTAGACTTATTTTGAGACTTCAATGTCGCGGCAGGCCCTAAAGATGGAGCGACGACTTGGACATCTATGACAAGGATTGGCTGCAAAAAGGTTTGTACACAGAGGAGTGGAAGCAGGATAGGGAGGCCATTGCCCTGCAGTGGGACGATCATGGTGAAAATAAAATAAAGATATAATGTTCCATTATCTCAAAGTCAGACTTCAGAACAGAAATAACTGACGTAGCAAGTCTGAATCAGTCGTTACATATGCTTACCAGAAAGGAAGAAATCATATACTTAGAAAAATCTCCAAAATTCTTTGCTTAGTTGCCTTACCAAGTCGATGCATAGAATAATTACGTCGGTACCGTTAGTAGTAGGAGTTTTTTGAAAATATCTATTAAGCACTTAGTTAAGTCAAATAATAATAACCTCATTAGCTGTTTATTAATAAGATATTACCATTTTTATCCCCAAAAAGACTTAGAATGTACCTTAATAGAAATCAAATATTAATTTTAATAATTATAAGTATCGGGATTTTTATTAGAGAATGCTAAATTAGTGGTGTTTGACTAACTGTTGCTGTGTTTATTAATTTAGTATTAGTATGTAGTTAGACAGGTTTTAAGATTAATGTCATGTTGCAATATCTGCCTAGATTTAGGATGGGTACATAGATCAGCCTTCGTCCTTCTAGCTATTGCCTTTTGACATTTTGAAGTGTAGATTACCTATCGGAAATTATGCATAGCTTATGGCTATGATGCAAACTTTATGATTTTACCTTTGTTAAAAGACTTCATTTATTTTACAAGTGTTTTTTTAGTTTTCTCTGTCTCGATGTTTGTCTTCAAATCTTGTTTATGCTAAAGATCAAATCTTTGAGTTAGTATGTTATCGAAAATAAGCTGTAGGTATTTATGACCTAAATGTCGCAGAGATGTGTCCAATGACCTCAATTTTTATGGACGAAGGCACAAATATAGCCGTTCATTTCAATGTTTTTATGAAATTTCTGTGTTCTATAAGTATTGAACCATTAGTAAATAAGCTTAATAATAGATTTGAAAGTATTTGGCGAGATTTTATTATCAGTCTAGCCGATAATTTCGAGCTATTTATAAAAAAGAGCAATATACAACTGAACGTCGGTAAAAAGCCCGCCATTTTCTGAATTAGGGAGTATGATATTGATATTTTCTCGATAGTTATGAAAGCATACATGTAAATTAGATAACATAAATTCTAGTGTGTCTGCGAGTCTGATCTAGCGATACTGACCCTAGAGCAAGTCTTACTTGTGCTTAGCCGTTTGCAAAATTCACGGAAGAGTCTGGATTTGTGGTTGCTGTACCTATGTATTGTAAAAGGCTCAAATCTTCTTATACAAGGAACAACCGTGTACTCACACTAAAGTAAGAATGTGCTTTCTACTACAGCTGCTTACGCTTCCATGTCTCTACATATATGAGGTAGCCACTTTTGTTAAAGCAAACCTACACATATATACCCATCCAAAGAGCACACGACACAGACACGAAATATGCATAACACCTCACAAAAAAGCCATATTTAATAACAACATTTTGGGTATGGCACCCAAAATATACAACAAGTTACCAAATGCTATAACTAACATCAGCAGTGTAGACGAGTTCAAAAGGTCCCTACAAGTACACCTGGTAACAAAATGTTACTACTCCATCAAGGAATTTTTAGATGAAAGATGACTGCCTGCTGGATCCGATTTGCATTGGTGGCATTTGTTTTGATTTATATAGGAACAACGAAATTATCAGTAAAACTTTTAGTATGTTGTACCCACTGACTAGGTAATATGACTTAAAAAAAAATGTACTGTTTCACGTTCATCTTGACATCCGCTAATGACTAATTTTAAAATTTTCATCAAGGACATTATCTTTATTTTTATATACATTCGTGACTATTGTAATAATTTATTCGAATGAAATTAATATTAATGACGTTATTAAATTAAATACTTAAATGTTTAACCTAATTTGTATGTGACATATCACAAAACATAGATGGTCAATATTATACCATGAAATGTAACATCCCATTGTACCTATGTTTACAAATAAATATTTTCATTTTCATTTTCATTTTCATTTTCATTTCAATTGCTTCAATGGCTATTATAGTTGTGTCAAAAATATATTATAGACTAGTAAAAATATAATTTCTTCGTTGGTCTTCATTTTCCATTCTCCCTTTTCAGACTCCCTATACTTGATTCCAGTATTCGTAACAAACTTACAAACATTATTTTGTAATCATTTAGTCTCCATTTCTCTTCTAAAGTTACTAGTTTACACTACTCAAGTTCTTAACAAATAGCAGTGGACAGAAGCCACTGGTGCACAACGGGGTCAAGCCGTCGCTTGCGCATGTTGCAAAAGTTTACCGGATAAGCGATTGCATTGCCTATACTAACATGTAAATTAAAATACAATTTACTATCATTATCATATTGTTAGCCTTCTATACTTATAGTGGTGAACCGCGGAGAACGTAAAAGGTAACCGGGGTTCCGGCTCGAAGTGCAGGAGTAGGAACGGGGTGGTTTTTAGTCAGTTGTCTTGCGTAACAAAAATTAAGTTGCTAAACGTAATTTATCGCGCCTAAACGTACTTAGCGGGCGCCATATTGGTTGTACAGCTGTTTGTTTACAAAGCTTATCATTGTTTTTTGTGTATTACTAATTCCGTTAAAACCAATGGATTTCGTTCATTTATTTTAATTTTTCTGCTGATGATGACGAATTCAGTTCATGTATGTAGATACTTATATCGAATAAATATTAATTTACTTAGGGTGCCAGGCATAATTATGGCTACTGGTGCGTTACACGGGTGTGCTGAGTGGAATACCTCCGTTACACAATCTGGCAATTTTACAAAATGAAGTTCTTCCACTTGCGGATCCTGAATACCTGCAGTTTCTTCCATAATGGGATTTTTTTTTTTAATTGGGACAAGCCCGCCACAACCTCCCAAAACCGCTGCAACTCCTGTAAGCCAGGATTTACAGTAGATACAACCATGAAAACACCGGAACACTGAAGTCCGGCGCGTCCCAGGGACATGAGTAACTGTCTTGGTTTCCGCAACGAAGTGAATCAGAAGATATTATAAGAGGGGAAGAAGAAAAACTATGGTTTTCACTTCCCTCGGTGAATTACTGCAGGAGACAGAATGAATTAAGCCTAAAGGCACAAAGAAGAGACTGTACAATTGGGTGAAGCCCAGTCGCCAAGCACCACGGAAATTTGACTAAAATTTTTAGTCAAATTTCCATAATGGGATTATGGAAAAAACTGCATAGGCTGCAGTACATAAGAGGCAACCAACTTATAGAAAAAATAATGTTGATTGAAAACTGTTAACAATTACTGTAAATCAATAAATTTTACCAAAATAAATTTAACTTTTATTATATTTCATTGAATTATACTTTCATAATTATCTGCACTTCTGTTATAAGGGAAGACTTAAATGTACTAAATAAAATAAAAGTAGTGACTAATTTCACTAAGCGGTTATAATAAATAGAAAGTTATGCTAAAATAACACAATCATATTAAATCATAAGTAGTCTTTTATTTATTCAATATAATCAATTGTGCATTTTTAATTTTTGCATCCACTAACTCGAGCTCTTTTTGCCGCTTTAGCTCTTTAAACCTGTTCTCCTTTATTTTGTCTTCCAATTCAAGCTCCTGCAGTTTTTGTTTATGCAGCAACTCTTTTTCTATGAGGAGTTTCTGCATGTTAACTAACTCTAGCTTGGCTTTTGAGACCTTTTGTATTGAGTCAGTAATAGACGTTTTTGACTTGGGTCTGTAATTATCTGTAAATAAAGTAACCATGATACACATTATTATGTATACATTTTACTAAGTAAGTATAACTTGTACTATTTAATATATGTGGGTCTTTTTTCTTTTTAATAATTTCATTGTGTGACAAAGCCGTGCCACAAAATTGTTCTCTTCCATAACAATGTCGACGTCTTTAATATCTTTAACTATCTGTAATTTATTTATGAAACTAAAATCTGAACAATTAAAATATAATTGTAAAAAACAAAGGTGACAGTTATGAAGAACTTACTCTGCAAATATTCCACAAATTTATTTTCAACTGGCTGTATCCTTTCCTGACCTGGCAGTGATTGTTGCAATTGGCCCATCAATTCTGCATCACTGTCATATATGGTAAACATGCCATCAATGTGTGGTTCAATTAGTTTCTTAAATTCTTCAGGATCATCACTTTTAGGTGGTTGATAAGGACCACTACCTTAAATAAGAGAATTCATTATAATTTGTGTAATTAAAGATTTGCTTTTAAACTGTCAAATACCAAGCGGTCACCGGTGACCGCAACCTATTGTTCTATAATTGTCTGCAAAACCGGTACTCGACGAGTTAATATTGTATTCTGGGATTAAAAGTACTGTACTGTGTAGCTCATTTCAAAACATAACTATGTATGCTATCACATTTCCTTACTTTGTAGTACAAAATGAGAATCAATGAAACTACTTATAAAAGTTTCCACACAATTACCAAAATCCATAAATAAATATTGTTACCAGACAGGGGATAGCGAGGGCTTTTTATTTATAATTAATTATAATACAGTAATAATGTTGTGTATATTTACCTGTACCCATCAAATGTGTTTTATGTTGGTTTTCAATTATTTGCATGTCCTTAGTCACTACCTCAAAACTTTTCTCACAAAGAGCAGGATCATTTTTTGGGCCACCAGTTCTAGTTGATTTCGACATTTTATATGAACACACGACTTTACACGAATGATTTAACGCGAAAAATCAAAACAACGCTAAACAATCATAAACACCACGCTGAGTGACTTTGACAGACTGCTGACATTAAAATAGTTCCTTTTTACGTCAAAGTATCATCAAAATCGTTTGTTGCCTAATACAAATTTCATAAAAAAAAAATCATAGTGCGTAGGTAAAACGAAACGAGTAATAAACGTATGAATAATCTTCCTCGTTTGCTAAACACGTTTAGATAGATAAATAGCATTTGAAATTCTTTCATGCAAGACAATTTTAAATGCGTTTAGGATAAACGTGTTTACGGAGCTAAATATAGTTAACTAACTAATATTTAAGGCAATTTTAACACAATGATATGCAAGCTACTCTAAGAGTCTGACACTCCTCCCTTCCGTCTAACAAGGCGAGAGAAGCCATTCGATGATTTCCACCCCTTAAAAAATACTTATAGTGGTAGTAATTATTATAGTTTATAATTAAGAAATGAAGGAGTTAGATGGAAAGTCAATATTAGTCTTATATAATTTATTAAGTCTCCTATAAAGTTAAAAAAATATCTATGTGCTAAATCACCATGATCCATTTCAATTAGCGGTAGTGAGACACGTTTAGATGATTTATTTTCGTTGGATCCCATTTTGTAGATATTTTAGGATTCCCCAACTGGAATAAATGATAATGTTTTCTCATTTCTGGAACCAAAATGAACGCTAAACGGGATCCAACGAAAATAACTCTGTTTGATTGATTGAGGTTCACATTTCATCGTTTACGTCCTTTGATTTACAGTTGAAATTAATAACTGGCGACCTCAATCCGAAATCTTTGGATTGACTATAGTTGTATATGGATAGAGTTTCTATCATAAACTTAGGTCGATTCAGAGATTTTGGGTTTTTTGGCCGTTAAAGAATATAAGCTTTAGCAAATTAATCATAATTTATCGACACTTATATTAATTACTAGTTTACTATTGAAACAAACACAGATAATGACAAAAACCCCACAGAAATCAATATTTCAATTGATATCAATCTGTCGGAGGACCGGTTTTTAATCTCGTGACGAGAGGACGTGAACTGTCGCCAGCTGGTTAACTATTGCAGTTTGCTTAACCCAGATATATCTATGACTCGGTTAAACGTTCATACGTTAGAAATTTAACTGTTGCACGAAAGTGCTAATTACCACATTCGTAGAGATACGGTAAGATCAACGGTCTTTGGAATTACTTATGGTAACAGTATTTTGGATGCAATTTAAAATGTTTTCATATTTTTTTTACTTATTTTTCGGCTATTCAAGATAAAGAAGAATACTTTTGCTTCAATATTAGGGTGTCAAAATCAAAGCATTTAATTCATATAATCATTAATTACACACTTGAAACGTCTAAATTGAATTCGCTGTTCTGTCTGTCAGTGAAGCTAGGCGCTCGTTCCATCCTGGGTGATAAAAATAACCAGTTCAGCTATATTATACATGCAAAATGTCGCAAGGTTAATTAAAAACCTTTAGTAATGTCTTTGCTATTATGTAATGTGCATAAATATTACAATTCATCTTCCAGGAACTTATGAATGTTATAATAACAGTCCTTGAATTTAAAATAGGATGCAGAATATTAAAAGCTTTTTGTTTATTTTTCTTCACTATACTTTATGCACTGGAAACACCACCATCTTCTTTGATTATTTAAAAACCTATGTACTTATGTTAAAAATATCTTTAGTAAATACTGGTAGGTCTAGGAGATGGCAGCGTAAAACACTCGTCCGAGACCTTTATTCAAAAATTCATTAACAAATTAGACTTGTGATGATTTCGTTAAAGGTCATGAGCTTACGGGGATTCCTAGTTCCAATGTCCAATATGAAGGTTGCGAATTACTTCTCAGAATTCGTTTACGTTAATGCGCGGCCATATTTTTATTATGCATTTATTATTTATCATCGGAAATCCGAATGACTTTATATTTGCATAGCCATTCGATTCTTGGTTTTATGTCCTCTAGTGTTTGGTATTTTATAAACCCCTGCTTCTATGAATTTTGTGTTTGTTAATATTTATGTTTTTATTTGTGGAATTTTTTCTTTTTTCATAAGTAAACAAATATTTTTCTAGAAAAATGCTGGTTGAGATATAAAAATGTACTAAACAGCTTCATCTATAGTAAACATCCATTTTTGCATGTATTATTATAGACCTCATGTTTTGGCAAATAAAACGATCTTTATCTTTATCTAAAGTTATAGTTGTGTGTTCTACAAAGGAATTGTGGATGTAAAATAGGGTCATCGATTCTCGGTAAATACTTACATGCTTGGAAGGTTCCAGACGAGATTTTTATATAATTTATTTTTACGAAAATATTACCGATCTGCTATTCACTAGATTTTTAGATTTACCACACGGATGGCAAAAAAGCACACGACTCTGAGGGTAAGCGGTTACCGTAGCCTATGTAGGGACGCTTGCAATTTGGTAATTTTTACTCTTGTTCACATGAAGAGAACTCTACCTTCTGACCTTTCTTTAACATTTAAGTTCAAAATACTCAAGGAAGGGTCATTAAAATCCAATTCTTGCCAACTGAAATTCAACCTATTGTGTCTTTTCGTACATATCCAAATTCTGCCTCCGATACCCTTTGACCTACCACAACCCGGAACAAAAGGCGACCGATACGATAACCTTTACACTGCCCTTCATGGATTCAAGCTGATGATATTGTTGTGGCAATCTTTATAATAAAGAAAAACCTGAATAAAGTTCATTGCTCATAGTTAGACCAGTTATATGACCAAAGGTTGGCCATGTGCATATCACAGACTGTTTCTGATTATGAACTCACGAGATTAATTGATTAATTATTTTTATAAGGTTCTCTGTAAGCCAGTGAGTCTTTTGCCAATGGCCTAAAGACCTTGCTTGTCTGTACTGAAATTTCAAAGCATTTATTTCAATTAATCCTTAAACAGGCGGTTTTTAAACACTGCTTTTCCTACCTTAACTTAATCAATAAGCAAGCATGAAGAACCGATGAATGATATGCCATTATCTTGCTATTTGATGTTCCACTATCTATAGGTACGCTAAGTAGTGGTGGAATGTATGAAACACAAACAATATTTTTACTTGATTAACGGATTAAGGTCCAACTAACAAGCACGGCTCCGGCACGGCTCCAACCCAGAAATTAACTAGTCATATAAATTTGAACTTTAAACCGTATGTCGTATAACATATTTCATAACGTCAATATAAAAAAGCTGTAAGCGCGCCGCCCGCGCGCCGTCAACACGCCGACAACGCGCTTACAATCTTTTTGTATTGTTTCCATAGCAATAAACGCCGTGCCGGAGCCGTACCGTTGTTGTGTGCAATATTATTATATAAGCTTTATTTTATAAGTGTGGGAGAGCCATGCTTCGGCACGAATGGGCTGGCTCGACCGGAGTGATACCACGGCCTCACAGAAAACCCGCGTGAAGCAACGCTTGCGTTGTGTTTCGTCGTGTGAGTGAGGTTACCGGAGACACAATTACCTTCCCCTTCCCCAATCTCCCCAATTCCTGAATCCCCAATGATCCTCAAACTCTTAATCCCTAAAAAGCCGGTGACGCACTTGTGACGCCTCTGGTGTTCCAGGTGTCCATGGGCGACGCCGATTGCTTACCATCAGGTGATCCGTCTGCTCGTTTACCGGCTTATGCCATAAAAAAAACTTAAGAACTCATCGTCACGTGACAATTGCGCTGACAATCACGTGACTAATGAAGCATGCAGAAATGACAAAAGTAAAGTTCATTGCATTCAGGTAGACAGACAGTAGCCAGCTTCAGATCAACCTACTCCGTAAGATTTTCAACTCTATTGTTTTGATATAAAGTCTAAAGTCCAATGTAAAATACTGACAGATTGGAGTAGCTTGACCTGCAGCTGAGCTGGGCAGCTGTCTGTATAAAGGTTAGCTTGCACGTGCATCGTTTACTTTTTTTAAAGGATACATTATTTTTTATGGGGACTGGTGCTTGACAGCTGATCGTCAAATTATAGGGTCGTTGGCCTGAGGTCATACTTATTGGAAGACAATTCTTAACCAATGTTGTTATGTGTCGTCTTCTGATAATATGAATTATTATTTAGTAATTATTAAGTTATTCGTCATTAGGGTTTTCGATTTGGAAACTTATTCCAGATGCCACAATTTGGAAAGTTTAATGAACTCTAATATCGATAATAGCGAAAATTAATGTAAGTGCCTTTGTCTACCCCTTTGGGGGCTTAAAGTGAAGTATATATATATAATTAAGCCGTTTTATAAGTATCGATTTGCAATTGTATAAAAAACACAATCAAGGAAATTTTTACTTAAACTTTGATTATGTAATCGGAAAATCTTGTAATAACTCAAAACTTTATTATTTGTTTCAGAGCCTGAGAAAACCACGTAAATTAATGTAAGTACTCGATGTTATTACAGCTCAGTTACGGAAACGACACGTAATTTCCTGTACATTCATAATAGCAGTACATATTTATCTACAAAACGTTTGCATACTTGATTGATGATTTGGAACTATTGAATATTTATATTAAACTAGCTTTTACTTGCGGTTTCGCCTGCCTATGTCCTTCTTCGTAATCTCAATTATGTGTAAAACTAACAAGAAATTGCTTGAGTGAATGTGGAATCAAATTGTAGGACCTTTTATAGATTTTTTCATTTTTAAGTGTTTTATGAGTTAAGCTGGTAAACGAACAGATAGATCACCTGATGGTAAGCAATCAGCGTCGGCCATGAACACCTGGAACATCACGAGGCGTTACAAGTGCGTTATCGGATTGGGAAGATTGGGGATGGGGGTAATTAGGCCTCCGGTAACTTCACTCACACGATGAAACACAACGCAAGCGTTGTTTCACGTTGGTTTTCTGCTCGGGCGTGGTATCACTCCGATCGAGCCGACCCATTCGTGCAAAAGCATGGCTCCCAGTCTCCCACATAAGTTTTAGTTTTCATGTGGTTCGTTTTGGGGTTGTTATTTTATTAAGTGATTGTAAAAA